CAGAAGACCCAGATTTGGTTCCCAGCACTCATATGGTGGCTCACAACCATCCATAACTTCAAGTCCCTCTTCTGCCCCTCTCAGGCACTAGGCATACACATGGTACACACACGTAGGCAGGCAAAACACTTATACACCTAAAATAATAAGTTTTAAAAATTAAGCAAACTGTCAGTAATAATAGTATTAGTGAGGCTAGATTACCTGTTATAACAAAAATAACGATAGTCTACTATTTAGATCTAAACACATAAGGTAAAATTTTAGTAATTGAAGGAAAAAGAAGATGGAGGCAAGACTGTTCCGAGGCCTGATAAAAAGGTAACCTTCATGAGGAGTCTCATTTTTCAACGCCAGCAGCCTATCCCTGCAATTACTTTATCAAGTAGAACTGACTGCTCATTGCTTATCCTCTCTGTCTTGTAAGCAAAAGATAAAGAAAGAATGAGGCCATTTCCTTTGCTCTTCAATTCCTGATTTCTTCATTGTCTTTATAGGACACAGATAAATATGGACTCACAATAGCAGCCCATCCTTCTCTCTAAGCAAAGTACTGGTAAGGCAGAGAATGGGGCAGGGGCGGTTCTTCATTGCAAGGGTGGTGTGAGCATGAACTCTAAGCACATAAGGGTTGCAGCATCATTACTTTAGTAAACTAAATAAACAATCACATGGTATTTTGCTTTGTGAGAATCTCAGATCCAGGTCTGGTGTTATGACTCAGAAGGTAAAGCACTATGTAACATGCAAGCCTGAGGATATGAGTTTGAATCCCACAGCCCATACAATTGCCAAGTGAACAACATGGGTTCCTGCAATTCCAGAATGCAGAAATTAGAGAAGGGAATCTTCAGAATAAGTTAGCTGGTCACATGATCTGAAGTGGCAAACTGCATTTTTGAGAGAGCCTGCCTCAGTGTGTAAGAGGGAAAGTAGTCAAGCAATACACCTAAATGATTTTCTCAGTCTTCATATGCACATACACCTATGTGACCAAGCACCTGCACATATAACACCACACATGTGAACTTGTAAACATATGAATATCATTTGCAGGCACATGCAAAAGAAGTATTAATGCTACTTTAAAAAATCCCTCAGATTTCCAGCTGATCTGAAGTCAGACCCCTCCCCGTCCCACTTAGATTGAATTACTCACTCACTCATCAGTCTGTGCCTGAAATGACTCTGCCACAACCCTTTCAACAAACTTTCACATGCAGTTGTTCCTTACTATTAACTCTGCTTCCCAGCTATGCCTCAAAGCATCCATTGTTTTCTTCTTCCTTCAATCTCCATACCCAAGGCATATGCATCATCTTTATTTGATCCATAGCAGTACCTTATTAATGAGTCCACTTCCCTGAGAGTGTACATCTTCCATCCATATCTCCCTTATTTTGTATGTAACTGGAATATGTTCCATACCTATGGTGATCACTTTACTCTTGCTAGTTTGAAAATTTTCAAAGAATTCCCACTGAATTTAAAATAATGTCCAAATTTCGTGACTATGATTGACAAGGATCTGAGATGGACCCTCTAGACTACAACTCTGGCTTATTATAAACATTTTATGATGGTTATGTTGTCAACATGACAGAATCTGAAAACACCATGAAGACTTGCATCTCAGAGCACCCTTGAGGGATTACCTAGATTAGGTTAGTTGAGGTAGGAAACCCACTCTACACGTGAGCAGCACAGTTAGGGACTGCAGTCCTGGCCTTCATAAAAATGAGAAATCAAGCAGAGTGCCATTACTCAATGTTTTCTACTTCCTAGAGCTGCAGTGTGACTAGCTGCAATGTCTCCATCTCTTGCTGCTATGATGAACTGTACCCTTGAACTGCGAGCCAAAACTAGCTATAATTTAAGATGCTTTTATCAGTTATTTTGTCCCAATGAGAAGAAAAGTGACGACTATGCATGTCTGCTCTTGCTCCTGCTAACACCTTTCCTTAGAAACTTGAATGAGACATGGAAACTGTTCTTCTGAAACCTTACCCTCTGTTCACACAAGATAAGGTGATTATTATATGATGTGTTCCTGCAATCTTTGGGGTGTCATTTCTATAGCCCTAACTAACATTGTCAACAGCTATATCTGAAAGTATCTGCTTAATATCCGCTTTATCTCCTTGCTGAAATAAAAAGAACAAGCGTTTGTTTGCTGCTGCCTCCTCGGAATCTAATATAATGCCTGCGATGTAGTAAACACTGAGGTGTTTGAATGAATAAATGAATAATAATTAATGAATCAAGTACCAAATACTAGTTCACCATCTAGCATGCATGTATGATAAACTACTTTTAATAGGACTATGTTGATTTTGTCATTATTTCCTCTCACCTCTGTTAGACTCTTGGTGAACAATGTATTCATTTAAAAGGGGTGAACAATGTATTCATTCACAGTCAGGGTGAGCACCTTGCCCTGTGTTAGTCCTCTGTTTTGATGCTAAGTAAAGAAAATTGGCCCATACATTGTTTAGAACTGCAGTGGTATGAATGAGTCTCCATAGGCTCATATCTTTGAATATTTGAACTTTGATTGATGAAATTGTTTGATAAGGATTAAGAGGCGTCGCCTTATTTGGAGGAACCGAGTCTGTGGGGCAAGCTTTAAGGTTTCAAAGGACTCTTGCCATTCCCTTGCTCTCTGAGTCTCTGTCTCTCTGCCTCCTATTTGTGGATTAAAATGTGAGCCCTCAACCTTTCCTACAGCCATGCCCTTGTTCTACCATCATAGATGCTAACCATCTGAAAACATAAGCCCAGTTAAGCACTTTCTTTTCTAAGTCACCTTGGTCACAAGTTTTGTCACAGCAATAGAAAAGTAGCTGATATATATCCCTGCAACAAATACCTTATTTTTCTGAAAACAAAAAGGATGTTCTCAATTTGCAGCCTTTAATCTCAGGATTTGATATCCAAATATAGTCCAATGCCACATTACACAGAAGCCCTGAAGAATGGAAAAATCTACATATATTGCTACAAAGAGACACCATGGCCACAGCAACTCTGAAAAGGAAAACATTTAATTGGGGTGGCTTGCTTACAGTTTCAGAGGTCCAGTCCTTCATCATCATGGTGGGGAACATGGTAGCATGCAGGCGGAAGTGGTGCTGGCTACATCCTGATCAGAAGGTAACAAGAACTGGTCTGTATGTTATACTGAGGGAAGCTTGAGCAAGAGAGACTTCAAAGCCTGTCCCTCCCCTCACGGTGACACTTCTTCCAACAAGGCCACAGCTACTTCAAGAAAATCACACCTCTTAATAGTGCCACTCCCTTTGGGGACCATTTTCTTTCAAACCACCATGCTAAAGAACTATGTTTGCCTGAGTTTGATCCCTCAGAATCGACATAAGCTGGAAATGGGGTCATGCATATTTACTCTTAGTGCTATAAGAGTGACACTATAGGGACCCTGGGCCAATCAACCTAGCCTACTTGGCAACTTCCATGCAAATAAGAGGCCTTGTTTGAGACACACACTGAGAGAGGGAGGGAGGGAGGAAGGGAGGGAGGGAGGGAGGAAGGGAGGGAGGGAGGTAGACAGCATGTCAGAAATGACATCTGTGGTTCTCTTGTGGCACGCATGAGTATATACACCTGGGCAAATGTGTGGACACACACAGACACACATACACACAGACACACACACACAGACACATAAACACACACACACACACACACACACACACACACACACACACACACACACACACACCAGGTTTCCCATTGCCTCTTCTTGTCTCTTTTTCCACTACCCCTGTCTCATCCTCAATTCCTTCTGCACTGTGCCCTACACTCAGGCACTAAAACACCACTATGTAGCAGAATCTCCTGTAATCCCAGAAATGTTTTCCCTGTACACTGGCTAACATGGTAATTCCACTATCCCACTAATTGTCAAGTATTTGAAATGTAGTTAGTGCAGCTACAGAAGTCAATTTTAAATTCTACTGACCTTTATTTTTTCTCTTTTTGCCATTGTTTTTTAAATTTCATTTTACATTTCAACCACATTTTTCCCATACCTCCTCCTGCCCCTCCCACACCCCTGCCTCCTCCCACCCCATTTACCTCCCCCTCAGCCCACCCTGAGTCTGTTCTTCCTCATGGGTAAGGGTTCCCATCAGGAGTCAACACAGTCTGTCAAGATAGGTTGGGAGAGAGCCAGGCCTGTTATGCATACATTAAGTGGCATGGCATCCCACCATAGGGAATGGGCTCCAACAAGCTAGCTTATGAACCAGGTTTAAATCAAGGTCCTACTGCCAGGGGTCCTTCAGCTAGTCCAAACTTCACAACTATCTCCCACATATGGAGGGCCTAGTTCGGTCCCCTGGAGTCTCCATAGTTCTAGGTCTAGAGTTCATGAGTTTCCACAAGTTTGATTCAGCTGTCTCTGTAGATTTCTCTATCAGGATCTTGACCTCCTTTGCTCATAAATTCCCTCCTCCCACTCTAATTTTATTTAAAGTTAGATAGTCACATTCAGCTAGGGGCCAATGTATTAGAAAGCATAGCTCTGGCACTCACCATCAAGGTCAAAGAAAACAAAATCTGTGCCATTGGATAGTTGACAAGAAGTTAGAAGGAGAATAATAACTGCTATAGCTTAAATGTACTCACCAAAGCTCATGTTGAAATAAAGACCCCATTTGGATGTATTGAGAGTGGGGGTCAGGGGGGAATTTTAAGAGATTCTGCCATCATGAATGGGTTAACCCATCCATGAGCCAATGGATGAATGAGTTAGTGCATTATTTTGAGAGTAGGTTGTTCCAAAAGCCAGCTCTGTCTCTTGTTTGTATCCCTTTCATGATATAATAGCCTCTGGTCAGAGTTTTGCAGATTTCCCACCAGCAAGAAGACCTTCAAACCTTCACCAGGTATGGCAACTTGTCCTTGGACCAAGCAGCCTCCAGAACTACATGCTGATTAAACCTTTATTCTTTATAAATTACTCAGTCTTCTGTGTTCAGTTATAGGTGCAGCAAGCGGACAAAGACATCAATCTTCCAAGACACTAATGACATAAAAAAAGATGTAGGCTGTAAATGATGGTTGCCATTTTCAGGAAAAAAAAACAATACTAGCACCATTTCAAACAAGAAAATAATAAAGATGTATGGTTTCTTAGTGTTTGACAGCTCACAAGTGAGTTCAACTCCAGGTGAGTTTGCGTCTGCAATTCCATTGTGCCATCAAAGACCTAGATGTCTCATTTCTAATTATCTCTTAACCTTTCCAGATATCTTTTTCAAGGAAATCTCCTCATCATGGATGCATCAGGACTGCTCACAGGTGTCTTAGCCCTGTGCTTCCTCATCTGTGGCATGAGTTTTGAGCAAGGCAAACCATGGCAGCTATTCTCAGGTAATTCAAGATCTTGTTGTTTGTTGCCAATTATTGATGACACAGGTTGTGCCTTCCTCGACCTTGTTGGTATATAGTAGAGCTGTGCTTTTCACTGCAGCAGCCATTAGTCAGCCATTGTACTTAAACCTATACAGGTAATGGCAAGATATAGGATTATTTCTGAGCTAAGCCACATAAACAAGGATTTCTCCTTTATTACCTTCTACAGAAAATCACTTCATGTCTCAAGAGGTTAGTTTGAGTCAGTATGCCTCCTTTCCTCCTGCCGTCTGGACCAGGAGGAAAGATCACAGTGCTGGACTTACAGCTCAGTAACGCCCCACCCCTCACCTGTACTCTAAGAGAGATATATATGGCACACAAGGAAACATTAGAATATTAAGGCAAGGGGGAAATGTTGATAAATTATGATCAAAGCTATAATATTTTCTATAGTTATGTATACTTTTAATTTTCCTACTTGGAAAAATTCATACTCACGTTTTTCTTTCTTTAGTATCACTTTAGTTAGAATTAATTTTTTTAGTTTTATTGTGACACTTTCATACATATATATGATGAATCTCCCCCAACTGCTCTCCTCCATACAGCCTTCCCCCCACTTGCTGGTAACTGTTCGTGCCCCTAAATAGTTTCTCCTTCTGTGTTCATGTCACACATGCTCATTATTTTAGAAAGGTAGAAAACTCAAGATCTAAATAAAGAGTTTTAAATCATCTCTGATGCACTGCAGCAAGTTTTGCAGCACTCACATATAAATGTAAATATACCTAACACTTTTCTAAGCACATCTATTGGGTGTCTTGCTTTTCTAAATACTGAACTTTTAACATTAACTATATTGAGCCAGGTGTAGTCCTGTAATGCCAAAACTTATATGCTAAGGCAGGAAGATACTATCAATCCTGGGATCAACCTAGACCATGTAGTGAGTACCAAGTGTGCCAGGGCTACACAGTAAGACCCTTTTTCGAAGAGTAAAAAAAACATTTCAAATAAATTTTAAAAGTTTTTTTCTTGGGATATCACATTTTCCAAATCAGTAATTCTTCCTTCAATGTTGTCTTAACCGATATAAAAAGTTTTCTTTTTGTAAATAGTCCATATGTATTGGTTACTTCTCACGTGGTTGATCTTAGTTTCGATGAGACAGAGCCAACGAGAAGAATATTTCTCTACAGAATACTACATGATACTAGTTGTTAACTCCAGCAAAAGTACTCCATCTCCTCCCCTTCTAGGGAAGAAATCCTAGTAAGACTTCTCAACTCTCTATTTTCCTATAAAATTTATTTTAAAATAAAATGTCTTCTGAGTTTCCTGTCAATATTAGCTCTTCTCTTTTGTCTGGTTGCAGTTTTAAGCATGGGAACTATATGATTCCCAGTAATAGGACAAACATTTCTTAAATGTATATTTTAACAAAGGCCTCATACCTGCTAGACAATACCACTCTGCTGAACCTCACTACAGCCTTTCCTTGTGTCTTTTTCCTTTTAATTCTTTATTATTGACCTGGTCAGTGAGACAGTATGATAGAGATGACCAAAGAACTCTGGAGCCACCACTCTTAGCTCCACCTCTGAGGATTTTTCCTTGAACTTTTAGGGTGTTTTCTCACATCCTGTAACCCTTGCAAATTCAACTATATTTGAATCTCTCTCTCTCTCTCTCTCTCTCTCTCTCTCTCTCTCTCTCTCTCTCTCTACTTGTCAACCACTGCCCTCCTTCTACCTTACTTCTTCCAACTCAAATTCTCTAGACTTACTCGTGAGTCATTTTCCATTGAGTTTCACTTGGCCCCTGAAGTATACACCGGAGACTGCTCCCTAATACCCCTGAGAGTCAGTGCTACCTCCATTTGCAGTAGTGTCTGCTCCTCTGTGTTCTGAGCCTGCTGCCCAAGTCCATACCATCAGGGAAAGCACAGTACCTTTCAGCCCCTCAAATGTATCACATTCTTTTTGATACAAAGCTTTTTCACATTTTGTTACCTTTCTTTCATCCTATTCTTTACCCAAGTTGGCTTTTAGCATCTAGGGTATAGACTTTCTCTAACCCCATCATTCCTTGCTTACAAATATGCATTACCTGCCCAATATGCAAGTATATAATGCTATCTGAGGTAGGATTTCTTTTTGTTTGAGACAGTTATCCTACTGAGTAGCACTGACTGATCTCATTCTCCCTGTCCCTGTCTCCTGGATGCTGGGAGTGTAGGATGTGTCACCAAACCAAGGTCTATTTGATTATTTTAAAACCACAGATCACAAGACCTTGAATGAAGCAACATTTATCCATACTTTCAACCTAATATCATTTTACTCCTCCTTACCCATCTGCCTACCCATCATTCTCCATTTACCCTTGCCTTCCCTCATTAATTTATTCAATTACCCATTCATTCAGCAATGTTAAGAGACCTGAAGTCAAGACCTCATGAAAAGATGGTAGATGGTTGATCATCACTCCCAGGATCATCACCACAAATGCTTTCCAAATGCAGGACTTTGGCAAAATATGAAAGCACTTGGTCTGATCTTGGCAGTGTACCTGGTCTACAGTGGATACTCAATCAATAGTAATAGAAAATATGAATAAATGAATGTGTGAATGAATGAACAAACTCAGTCACTTCTCACTTATTCATGTTTGAGATGCTTTATAAATTCTCAGGAAGATGCTAAGGGAGTGGTTGGCAGTGGGCTGAGTGGGAGGAGGCTGGCAAGAGTTCCAGATGATGTGTCTGCAAGAGCATGGGTGTTCGTGTGGGATGCTGAGACTCGGAGTGCCTAAAAGTGCCTCTCTAACTACATCCCAGCACCAGAAGGAAGTGCTCTTTGCCTCCCTTCTCATTTTCTCTTTCCTATCCGTTCATCCCTTTCTTCTCACACACCATATTGCTAGTGGGCCTTACCCACTCTTGGTCTCCACCCTCACATTCAACATTGTCATACTGTATTGGAGAGTGTGTGGTATTTCTGTCAGTGCCAGCTCAGACAGGAGAATCTAGCTGTTACTAGTTTAGAGCAGAGGGAGAGGGTGTTGTAAAAGGAAGTCAAGGAAATCTTGGGCACTGCTCAAGAGGAAGAAATGGTCATACTCATATTCCTTAAGCCAGAGGTCCTCAGGTTTGGCAGTGAATTTCATTAAGGGATAGAGTAGTTAAGGCTTTATGTCCCAAGACTCCACCCTGAGATCTATTGAATTAGCATCTCTGGATGGTAGAGTCTGGCAATAGTATTTTTCACAGCTCCCTAGTTAGTTCCAATATGCAGCCAAGTTTGAAAACCACTGTGCTAAAACAAAAACTTATTTTGGTAGATTTTGTGTCACTATGGCAACACCAGAAATACCTGCAATTTCTTTTTAATTAGTTGCCAACTAAAAAACACATTTTCTATGTTTAACAGATGTAATGTTAGCCCAATGTAGGCATATTTATTGAGTCCTTACTATGTACTTTGTATGGTACTAGCTATCATATGAAACCTCTACTTTGCTATCATGTTTTTTTTTTCTGGATCTTATATAAGTGCATAGAGCAGGTGATGAATATGTGTTACAAGGAATGCCATTCTCATTCAAGGTTGCTCTTGTTTTGATTTTTACTCATGCTAATACAATTCCCCTGCTGAGTTAACTGTAGTTTTAGTAGTCTCTCCTATAACACATGGAATACCCATTCCCTGATCATGATTAGTGATGGAAACCAAAGTCAATTTGGGCTGGTCAAGAATATTCAAACACAGGATTGCAAACATCTCTTGGAAAGATGTCTTTCTCTCATCTAAGACAACTTCGAGAAGTAATTTTTCCTTGTACCGAGAGCTGGGATGAAGGGGTTGTCACTCACAGTGACTTAGAAAGAGTGCTAACAGAAGGAAACCAATACTAGGAGATCACAGTGAACATGTAATGGTAAACAAATCCAGGTGCTTCCTACTAGAGAGAGAATAAGACATTTATATTTGGGGTACCAGTCCTCACTTTCTCTTGCTGTTTGATTCTGAACTACCTATTCTGGCTGGCTCATGAGCTTCTGGAGATTTTCCTGTCTCTGCCTCCCATCTCACTTTAGGAGTGCTAAAATAACAGATGCATGCTACTACAGCAGGCTTTATAAGGATTTGAAAACCTAAACTCAGGTGCTTACATGAGTACAACAATGCCTTACTCTGAGCCATCTTCTTAAGCCCCATCTCTCATTTTAAAAATAAATAAATAAATTAGGATCCAAAGATCAGAAGTGATTTATGCAAGGTGACACAGTCTTCCCATCCTGAGTTATGTAAAGCTGGAAATTGCTCTCAAGACTCTTCAAGGCCTCACCATTGCTCATTCCACTTAAACTCCAGAATTATCTTCATTGAAAATACTTGCCTAAATTTTCCAATGTGCTGTTAGTTGTGATGACCATAGTCTTTAAAATGTCTTTAGATTTCCTTGGAAGAAACTCTTCCTAGAAATAGATATTTTCAATCCTCTTTGAAAAGACATACCCCCAAAACTATGGATGCAATTTGGTTTTCAGATGTAGACACCATGAAATAATATGTAAAGCTGTTGAAAATATAGATCACACAGCTCACCCCCAACCAAGAAAAACATTAAAAATTCTCCCCAGCTCAGCTGCTTCAGTACACTTTTACACTACACATGATGTTGCTGAATATATAAAATACTTGGATCTAAATTTAAAAATGTTCCCCCTCCCCTTGATTAACCAGATTGTCCCCTCCCCTATATATAGGAACGCTATGTGCCTGAGCCCACTTGCCATCTGTCATCATATTTTCCAAACTTCTCTTCCACCCCCTCCTCTTACACAATTTTATCACATAAAAATATTAGATTTCAGGGATTTGTATAATTTCATGAAATTTTCTGAGCCAAGTGAAAAATAGAAGTACTGGTATATGAAATTTCTTCAGCTTTTCAATACCCAACACATATCCACAGGAGTCATGATACCCTTTAGCACAACTTGCATAGCCA